ATACACGTCTAGCGCATCATACCTCGCCCTATTATTTTCTTTTATCGGTAGTCGCGAAAATCCCATCCTCGTCGCCAGTTTATTATACATATTTATTCCAGGGTTCAAATTCAGCAAGGGATTCAATAAGTACGCCGATAAAGTAATATACTACGGACTTGACTATATTTCAGAAATCTAACTCTCCTGCATACACACACATGCTTTCTGCTCCAAGCCGGTAAACGGAGTGCTGCTCCGCGCAGCATACGCACACACACGCACACCACGTCACTTGCTTCAGCGCCACATGTCGCAAACTAAGCACTGCTCTCTTATACATGGCGCGTCTTATAAATCCGAATACATAACATTTACTTTTTCTAGCAATTACATCATCATTAACATCATTAACATCATTATCATTATTGTCGTTGTCACTGTGCTCACGTTTACCTTTCGGCGTTTTTACTTTCACGACATCTCCAATTTTCGACTGTTTGTCTCGTTCAGTGATATCGATAATTTGTCTCAACGGTTCTACGATCGGTTTGAATCTTTTCTCCAGGGCAATTTCGCTCTCCATTATGCCCGTTTTCAACGCTCTGTGTTTCTTACGAATCGACGCACGTGTTTTCGCGATCAGTTTTGCGGTTCTTTCGCGTTCGGCGATGCTATTCGTTTCGTCTATATCGTCGCGCTGTCACGATAAACACTGTACGACTTACAGAATCGCGAAATCGTCGAAGCCACGTCTATACGTGCCATTCTGTAACGCGCTGTCCTTGTCTATAACCACGAAACCATATTTGCGTTGCCAACATAGATGACACAGTGTGCAAAATTTCTCGTACGACATATCAGTATTCACGTGATCGTTGTAAATGTGTTTCAGATTGGTGCCATCTTGTTTGAATAGAATTAGCAAATTGGCATTGTCGCGTATGAGATGCTTTGGTATTTTCGCATATGTTTGACAGAGATAAAAACAATCAACACTCGCATGTCGACCCATGGCGAAGTATTCCCTGATAGTATTCTGCTTGTCGCAGACTACGTCGTCGAATACGAAAATCGAGTTTGGAAGCGCTTCGCTAGGCGGAATAACGTCACCATTATTAGAAAAAGCATAGTAACCGATATCTTCGATCGATTCCAGCAGCTCTTCGAGATATCGATATTTAGGTTGAAACAAGGATTTCGAATAAACGTAAACGTTTTCGAAACGTAAACCATGTGGACTCTCTATCAGACTTAGCAACATATTCGTTTTACCACAATTGGAAGGTCCGCAAATGATGCAACGTATCGAACTAGGTAGTGCAGGACCGTGTCTGCAATTCTCTCTGACCATGTCACTCGACATCAGTCGCGTCTTCCGATCGAGATTCGATACTCCTATCGTTCGAGATTGTCGCACGAATCGCATGTGTCGCTCTTTTGACGCGCGTGCGCGAACTTAAATGCGACGGGGGAAAGACACGTGCTATTTATACCGCGAACAGACGAGCCTTTCGCACAGTCTATCATTTATTTTGACGAGTGATCATCTACGAAAAAAAAATGTTCATTCTGATAACGGACAAACGCGACATTCTCGCTTTTACAGCCGAACAACTGCAATACGTACCAAGGGTCATCCTTCTGCGCGATTTCGAAAATTATATCGAAGAATTGTGGGATCGATTGCCCGATCATATAAAAGCCGATACTGAGGTGAAACGTTGTCGTATGTGTTTCGAGCATTATAATCTTCCGAATCAAAAAACGCATATAGACGGTCCACCGCCTCTCATCAAGAATTGTCCCCAATGTCGCGTTGATATGCAAATAGTCAAGTCGGAATGATACCTGCGCACGGCACGGGTTTACTGAACGCGACGATAAACGCGCTTCCGTTTGAATTACACATTCCTGGATACCAATTTTGCGGACCAGGTACGCGTCTCGCGAAACGATTAGCTCGCGGCGATCGAGGCATCAATAAATTAGACGCGGCTTGTCGCGAACACGATATCGCGTATTCGCAAAGCAAAGATCTCGTCAGTCGACACAGTGCTGATCGAGCTCTCGCCGAGAAAGCAAAAGAGCGTATTACAGCAAGCGATTCGACGTTCGGTGAGAAAGCCGTCGCGACCGCCGTTTGGGCAGCCATGAAGGCGAAGACAAAATTGGGCATGGGTGTGAGAAAAAGAAACAAATCAAGGAGAACGAGGATTTTATCTGTAGCGAAACGCGGTGGTTTTCTGCCAATTTTACCAGTGTTGGGTGCGCTCGGATCTTTGATCGGTGGAGCAGCTAGCGTGGCGAAAGCAGTGGGCGATCGAAAAGCCGCTCGACGACAACTCGAGGAATTGCAACGTCACAATCGCGCGATGGAGGGTCGCGGTCTGTACATTGCGCCACACAAACGTGGCGGTCGCGTGAGGAAGAGAACGAAGAGGATAAAAAAAAAACATCATGGAAGAAAACGGTAGAGGATCTTAACTTATCGATCTCCGGTATCACGACGAACGAGCAATTGCGTCGTTCGGCGTATCTTTTAAAATTGCCATTCTTCAGAGGTGTATTCATGCGCGATGCGATGCCCGCGAAACCACGTCGTAACGAGAGCGGTATCGTGAATCTCGACGATTCGACAGCACCCGGTACACACTGGGTCGCTTACGCGAAGAGAGGAAACGAATCTGTCTACTTCGACGGTTTCGGTAATCTGAGACCACCGAAGGAAGTCGAACGTTATCTCGGAGGTAACATCACATACAACAGGCGATCGTATCAGTCGTACGATCAAAGCATTTGCGGTCAGTTGTGTCTACGGTTTCTCTGGGAGATCGATTGGAAGAGGAAAAAAGTCCTCGTGTGACAGATCGCACTACAATCCGAACAGTTCAGCGGTGGCTTTCGCGCTACGATCATGTCATTGACTCTCTCATTAACGGGAAAAAACAGTGTCCTCGCGGCGAATTACTTCCCCGCTTTGGACTTGAGCGATAGCGAATACGAATTGGGTCTTACGAATTTCGAAACGTACAACACGATACCGAACGTCAACTCCTCGAATAATAAATTCCACTTCGACACCGACGACATTACGATCACGATTCCCGTAGGTTCGTACGAATTGAACGATATCGAAAAGTATCTGAGGACCGCTATAGTTCACAATACACTACCGAGTACTATCAACAATGACGAACTCGAAGAATTCGACGAGGTAGATCTAATATTCGAGGACGAAAGAACTATGGAACGAGCGAAATCTGTATTGATTCTTCGCGCGAACGAAAACACCATGAGAAGTGAGATCAAGTGTCAATATTTAATAGATTTTTCCAAAACGAACAGTATCGGTTCATTATTGGGCTTTTCGTCTCGTATGTTACGACCGAACAAGTGGCACGTATCGGACGAACCGGTTAAAATTATGAACGTGAATATAATTCGCGTTGAGTGTAACATTACCTCGGGTGCGTACAACAACGACCGACCGGTACACACGATACACGAATTCGCGGTGAACGTTCCTCCAGGATATAAACTATCCGTTACTCCGGCGCACGTCATTTACCTCCCGGTCATCGCACGAAACATTACCGATATAACGATACGTGTAGTGGATCAAAACGGACAGTTGATCGACTTTCGCGGCGAAGAGATATCGATTCGACTACACATACGACGTAAACGCTAGGAAAACTATGTTCGAGGGTGGAAGATGCTCGTCCTGAACGATTCGTACGACGGAGTGAACGTATCGCAAACATCGACATTGTGGAAGCCATTCAAAAATCGATACAATCGAACGAAAAAACAAAAAAGAGGAGGTCGATTAAACGCGAGGAACGTCGCCTTTCTACGGTCACTCGGATTCGTCGTGAGAAATGAATCGTGACATCCTGAAGATCGGAGGTGCTCCGATCTTCGACGATCGCATCGTTAAAATAGAGACTCACACGTACAATCCGTACGCTAACACTACATTCGGATACAGCGATGAAATACGAATACCGATTCAACATCAGGATCTCTACACGTTACCGTGCGAAAGTGTACTCTACATCGAGGGAAAATTCGTCAAAAAACAGAAGGAAGGAAGTACCAACCAAACACCGAAACTGACGAATAACTGCGTCGCATTCATGTTCGACGAGATTCGTTACGAATTAGACGGAGTTGAAATTGACAGAAACAGAAACGTCGGTATTACAAGCACTATTAAAAATTACATTTCGTTGACAGCTGAAAGAAATAAAACGTTAGAGAATGCAGGATGGAAAATTGCACTTTCTCTAGACTTATTGCTCGATCGATCAATAACAACATCTGAAGAGTTCAACTTCTGTGTACCGCTCAACACACTTCTTGGATTTTGTGAGGACTACAAACGTATAGTGATAAACGCCCGACATGAACTCGTTCTGATACGTGCGCGTAACGACAACAATTGCGTTATCGCTAGCGACACCGAGGAATTTACACTCACATTATCAAAAGTGCAATGGAAGATGCCGCACGTGATACTGAACGACGTAAACAAATTATCACTCTTGCGAACGTTGGAAAACGGACGATATCTCAGCATGGGATTTCGATCTTGGGATTTGTACGAGTTTCCTCTACTTCAGAGCACGACGAAGCATTCGTGGGCTGTGAAGACAACGTCGCATTTGGAAAAACCACGATACGTGATCCTTTCGCTTCAAACTGGAAAGCGAAACGTACTCTCTCAGGATAGTACTCATTTCGACGCGTGCGCGCTCGCCAACGTGAAACTCTTTTTGAACTCCGATTTTTTTCCATACGATGATATGAATGTGGATTTCGAACGTAATAAAGTCGCAATACTGTACGACATGTATGCAAAATTTGCGAACTCGTACTACGGCTACGAAAGAAACGAAGCTTTGTTATCACTCGCGCAATTTATTTCGTCCGCGCCACTCGTGGTGATCGATTGCTCTCGTCAAAACGAATCTGTAAAGAGCGCAACCGTGGACATTCGTATCGAATTCGAATGTAGAAAAAACATTCCATCGGACACCACGGCCTATTGTCTAATTATTCATGACAGATTAATAGAGTACAATCCATTGACAAATGTCGTTCGTAAAATTATCTAACAATAAATATAACGAATTTTTCACGATATTACAGACTGAGTATTTTTAATGTATGCTTCACAAAATAAACGTTATTTGAAACGAACTGTACTACGTTTACTGACGATTCGTTTCCTATATCTATTTTCGACACACATATCACTCCTCTCCCCTCCACATACTCGGCAGAATGCGATTGACTGTTGAACCGTATACTTCCGCTGTGCACGTACGCCGCAATGTCTCTCGCTTACCTCGTGGCTTTCGTTTCCGTAACGATATGCGCGTCGACACCGACGGCTGAAAATCTCGTAAACACAGAAGTGATAGAATATTTGCAGAGGTACGGTTACCTAAAAGAGGCAAATGTATCTACTCACACGTCGATCGAGGATGACAAAATTAAAGAGGCTATCGCATTATTTCAAGAATACTATCAAATACCAGGTAACGGTATATTGAACGATAATACGTTAGATCAAATGCGAAAACCTCGATGTGGACTTCCAGATATGCCATACCAGGAACACAATACGAATACAGTAAAATGGAAAAAAACGCATCTTACGTGGAACTTTAACTTAGCGGACGCGAATACATTGAAACTCGCGACATACGCATTCTCAATATGGGTGGCGAACACGTCTCTAACATTCGAACGTAAAACGTTAAATCCAGATATTTTGATATCATATCGCGGAGGAATTCACACATACATCGACAACAGACGGGAGGAAACGATCTGTTCCGGGTTGTTCGACGGACCCGGTGGAGTGCTCGCACACGCGTTTCCACCTATGAACGACCCCATGCAAAGCACTGAGATACACGTAGACGTAGCGGAACCTTGGCTTATACAATTAAACGAAAGTATATCAGAAAACAAACTACATTTACTTTACACGTTAACGCACGAAATAGGATATTCATTAGGATTATCGCACAATCATCGGGCAGATTCTCTAATGTTTCCTTACGTCACCGATAGATCCGCTACACTCAGTATAGAGGACATTTTAGCTATTCAACGTCTATATGGAAAAAATCAAAATGAAGTACCGAGTACACGATCTCCATCGGTAACTACAGATACGCGTAAAACATCAACGCAAAATCTGTGCGATCTACCATACGTGGACAATGTACTGGTGTTGAAACATCACATATTCGTCACTTATCGAAAGAGCATATGGGTGATAGCCATCAATGGTAAAAGGTACAAGGGACCACTCGCGCTCAATGACTATCTTCGTTTTCTTCCGGCGAACGTTTCAATAAACGCTGTGTATCAACGGCCATCAGAAGAAATTGTGATGTTCGCGAATAATAAAATTTACATGGTAGATTATCCGAGTTTTCAATTGAAAAATGGTTGGCCGAAAACGCATTCCGACCTGAACTTTCCCGCAGAAATGCGCGTTAACGCAGCATTAGTCACCAACCGAGGACAAACGTACGTGATCTTCGATGGCGACAGCGTAGCGTTAATGAATGAATGCGACATGACTATTCGCGAATATCACTCGTTAAAAGCGATATTTCCGGGAATACCATCATCTCCGACTGCAGCCTACCGATATATCGACGGTTCTCTTCATTTCCTACAAAAACGTCAATATTACAAATTCAACGAGTTCACCCAAACAGTAACGAATGCCGATACTTTCGACATGAAAATACTCAACGTAAATTGTCCTACAGACGGACTGCTAAGACAATTGCAAGATCTTCTTAATCGACTGCTTCAATCAAATAATTTACTCGAATACACCACAGAGGATGCATTGGACGATTAGCACGATGTTTTAAGTAAAAAAAATATATTACTACATGGGTACGCAGACGATCAGTGCGAAAGAACGAATCGTTCTATTAACATCGTGAGAGAGAGAAAAACATGTACGCGATTTCAAACGACACCGACGACGACTCTCGACGTCTCCTCATCGAGCGTACGAATGACGCGAAGATCAGAAGAGTTTTCACCAATACGGCAGCAAAGCATTTCATCACGGAGCACGATGGAAAAAAGGAAAAACAGTATAACGAAACGAACAATATGCAGAAACAATATAACGAAAAAGTAGATACGAAAGACACGTAGGAATTTGTATTTCTTTTTTTTTTTTAATCATTGTTTTTTTCTGAACTAATTTTTTTTTTTCTTTCGCACAGAACCACAGTACGCATATTGGAACGAAGATATCCTTTAACTGCTACCGGATACAAGTATCTAACCGTCGGCATCAACGTCAAATTGCCCTGCGAGATAACTGTAGTTCTTGGAGACAGTCACGGCAAAGAGATGTTCCTCTCACCGACCGTATGGAGCGAGCTCATCGAACATAAACGCGTCATATTGTCGCTTTTGCAACCCGAAAATACAAAAGGAAAACACGCACCATCGCCAATATACATCGGAGATGTGACATTGCATTTCTGTCGAATTAACAGTATACCGATGTTGCGTCTTGATTCGACATCTTCACGAATGACCTTGTCAAACAGTACAGTTGTCAATTTATTCAATCTAGAATATTGCGTCAATCGTCTCATTTCCTCATTCGACAATGTATCTGACATCATAAACAAAAAGTACTCGCGTCTTCTCAATACCGCGGCTAATGTGAACGATTCTATGAACATACAAAAAACCATGTACGAAAATGAATACTTCGATCGCAACGACATAATCGATTGCGAACTAATCGCACTGATCTTCGGACCGAATTAAAACGCTTCAAGAATAAACATTATTTTGTATTATTAAATTGTATTCTCTCATGTAGTAACAACACTCGAATAAATATATTGACAAATAAGAAAATCAATTCACATTCAATCTGACTGAATTACACGACCAAAAAAAATGTATTTTTATTCAACGCGCGACCCTGAGAACTATGAATAGATCGCACTCGCGCGTAGCGACCTTGAATAAATTAACGGTAAGCGCGTAGCGAACGACAAGAAAAACGGAAAAAAAAAACTCCAGCGCGTCTTCGAATAAATATATATACATTAATATAAAAAAAAATAAATGCATTGTACATAAGTACATCATTCAACGCAACAATTTATTTTCTTAGTTTTTCCACATAAAATAACATGGAGAGGCCTGTTGAGAAAAGCACACGCAAACGGAAAAGAGTGAGAGAGAGATAGAGCGCGTCGATTGAGTCATCCGAGGCGCGACCTTGGAGATAGATCGAGGTCGCGGCGAAAATACGACGAAAAAGGAAAAAAAAGACCGATCACGCCGCGCAACGGAAAAACAGTGCAATCGAGAGAGAGAGAGAGAGAGATATAGAGCGCGTCGAGTGAGTCATTCGTCGAAATGAATTGTCTCTGAAGCGCAACCATGAAGGCTATAGATAGATCGAGGAAGAGGAAAAAAATAAAGGTGAGAATCGTCTCCGAGACGTGCATCGCGTAACGGTAACAATAACAACAACAACAATTGACGATTAGTTTCGTCGTTTTTGAAAAGACTAACTGAACATTTCACCCAATTCACACATCTTTTTTTCCCTCTTTATTTTCATTTTATTTTATTTTTTTTTTTCCACAGCCGTAACAACGATACGACGCGCGACCGAAACGAACGATGACGACGCCGTCGAGCGCACGTTTCGCGCGTGATCGAGCTACGAGGAGGAATAACGGCGACGACGAACGGACGACCGTCCGACCGACCGTCGCGCCGCTCGCGAGGATCTCGACGGCGCACGCGCGGGAACAGACATAACCTGTAAGAACGCGCGCGCGGCGAGAGAGAGACATAACCTCGCTTCACTCGCCCGCGGCGAGCGCGCTTATGCTAACCTGATAACACAACGCGCGCGATCACGTGACTATCCCATGAAAGCGCGCGAAAATCTCGACGGCGCACGCGCGTGCGCAAGAACGGACATAACCTGTAAAATGCGCGGGAAGAGACATAACCTGTGAAATGCGCGGGAACAGACATAACCTGTAAAAGCGCGCGCGCGCGCGGACATAACCTCGCTTCGCGCGCTCGCCACGCGCTCGCCGCGGTGACGGCGCCCGCGACGTCGTCATGGCGACCGCCCCGGGCGCCCCCACCAGCGAGGCGCGACCTTCACACGCATTTTTTACCTACACACGCATACACGCAAACTCGCACGCACACAAACAAAAACGAGCAACGCCATTGGCTGTCCCAGCCACGCACACACGCAAACTCGCACGCACACAAACAAAAAGGAACAACGCCATTGGCTATACCAGCCGTGGTGAGTTCTAATTGAGTTGGTATATACCTAGCATTACTACTCATATAACGGCAATTCCGCACGAGATCGGCGTCTCGGGGCTCTTAGTTTGAACAATTATGGACGAGAACAGCACACGGCGTTTACGCCGTAAATCTACGCGAAAATCTAATACAACTGCGGTGCTACCGGTAACAAATATTGCCCCTGAACGCTCGCTCTCGCGCTGCCGTCTCGCGAACGTGCATCACGCGTGCACGGGCTTTTTCGCTCTCAGCTGTCGCGATCTCCAGGAGACCCGCAACTCCAAATCTACGTTACTTCCCCGATCGCCGACTATCCGGGAGCTTGAGAATCTCTCGTGCTTGTCGCCGAGCGTCTCACTAAACGATACGTTACACCAAAATGCCGCGAATGGCGACTCCGCGAGAATTCACTAATGACGCTCAACTACAGAACACGAGGGTCCCTCGCCCCGATGCATGCGACTTTACAATTTTACAAGTTACAGAGCAACCTCACCGATAGATCCCTGGCTCTCGTGCTCCTCAAGCCGATTCCGGTCTCTCTCTTTCGCTCTCGATAGTCTGGTCTCGCTCGACGGGCCGGGACGTCCGCTCCTATCGTACGCCGGAAACGAAAAGCACCGAAAATCGCGATCAATACGTTATCCCCCTCCGAGGGGCGCGCAGCCGCACCGCGCTTTTCCGCGACCAAGGTGCGTGCCTGCGATCCTTCGCGGGCAGTGCCGTGCCCAGCGAGGTCCTAGGGGGTGGTTGGAGGCCC